TTGAGGCATTTTTGAAGGTCAAGAGGGACTCTACTGACTGGATAACACTGTCAGAAAAACAGGGTAAAATCCTGGTACAGTTTTGTAACCCAAGGGTACAAACAACATTAATGTACCCCCCATAGTACAAAAATGTTCATTTCTGTACTGTAATAGCTACATTTACCTACAGCTAAGGTACAACTGGCAGACCCTTGAGGGTACAGCCCCAGTGACAAGTAATTGTTCCCTCAAAGGTACAAATTGGTACTTTTTTCCGAAAGTGGAAAATTCTAACAGCAATTTGCATCTTCCTTGTTTTAAGCCATTAAATAGTTGGCGTTTTCTTACAAGAAAATGGTCATAAACCATTCTTATATCTGTAAAGTGTTGCTGTTGATTTTTCCTTTCGCCAAAGGCAGTTAATACTTTGATGTTTAGATTGTTTGATAGCTATCATTTAAATTTGTACCAGTCAAAATTACTAAATTTGTGTATAAATATATGATTTTGTCTGTTCATTTTTAAACAGTGTCTCCGACCCAGCTGTGATTGTATGGTTCTCTTCTCGACTGGGTAACATATCTTCCCCTCTCTCTCGCAAGATCAGACAGCCAGTGCACAAGCTACAATTACCTATTGTGCATTTCATCATATCATCGTCTTTTTAGCACTCTATACTTCCCTTCCCCTCCCCCACATTCGATCAGATAATGCTTAGTCCGACTTCCATTAGCATCAAGGAAATCAAGTGTGGTCTGGTAATTGTGCTTTTCCCCTTTTGAAAATGGCTTTGTGAATTATGTATGTTTTTTTTTATTATTATTATTGGACTAAAAGGAAAGAGGGCCTGTTTTGAAAATACACTGCTTTAATGATTCCTGATATTCAACGTTACATGATCATGTTAGCAGTTCACCCGTTCTTTGCCAGCACCAGTTTATACTTTTCAAAACTTGGAAAAAAAAATATCACCCATGAATCTTGCTCTTTCTGCTGGCAAAACAACTGCTACAAAGATGAGACAAACGACTCTCATCATCTGCGGAGCTCCCTCACAGCACCAGTACTGTCCCTATAATTCTATTTTAATGTTTTATAATGCGCATCATCCTAAGCTTCCGGAACTTTTTCTTTTTTTTTTTTTTTTTTTTTTTTGCATCTTGCCTGTTTCTCCATTACTAAAAGCCTCTTTTCTAAATCAATGGCAAATTCTGCAAATTCAGCAGCAATCAAATCCAAAGAAAACTAATGTAATTTTTAACCAGCATCATTTGCAATGCACACTTCAATGCATTTTTAATATTGATATTTTACTAACAGAACTCTGATTAAGGGCATTTCTTAAAGGGACAACAACCCCCAACTGTAGACTACAATATGCCCCCGATCTGTAAACTTCAACCAATACACATATTCACACTTGATAGATTAAAAATATAGCTAACTTTTCTCTATTTTAAAATTAATGGATTGTTTACAGGCATATTAGGGGTTAAAACAGAGCATAAGGTATTCTTGGAATCATCAGCTTCACCTTGAAAGGTGATAATTAATAATTAAACAAAAACAAAGTTCTGAATCCATCTGGAAATATGAGGTAAGATACATACTATATGTACAGCATCACTTATTCAAGGGCCATATTCACTCTGCATTCTCATAGCTAATGATTATTAAAATATGTATGGTCCAGTGTATTTCAAGTATTTGAAAGATCACTTGCATTGCGATTTTATACTTTTATAATTGCAATCTCTCAGCTCCACCTTTTTGGTCCCTCCCAGCTCCTGCAAAAACGTGAACTGTCTGCGGGTCTCTGAGGACAAGACTGGGAATCAGACTGGGTATCCGGGAATCTTTTCGATGTTGTCTTGAAAAATGGATGGTAGATCACTGATGACTCATCTTCATCCAAATCAGCTACATTCGATCATTGCTGAGTCAGTCTGTTCTAGAAAATCAAAGGAATAAACAATATTTTGTAAAGGCATTTGATTTTTTTGAGAGGTAAAAGAACTTTGGTACCCTGTGTAGACCCTGCTCGGCACTGCCCAACTCCTTGGTGAGAACATCATGAATGGAGAAGTTTCAGTGGGGGAAACATGGACATGTTATATGTGTTATGGTGCGGCATGGCGCAGGTGGGAAAAATGGCGATGATCCGCTTTCAGTTCTAAGACAGAAGGGTTTATTTTCAAAACAGATCACACTACCAAAAACCAAAAGACCAAGAACAGGCGCAGGACAATAAGCAACAGATGGAACAATTATCAAGCAGGGACTCTAACAAACAATGAAAGCAGAAAACCCAAACCACAAACCAGGATGACGACACTAAAATAATAACAAGTAATCAAAAATACAACCAGGATTAGAAGTGAACTGGACACAAGCATTAGAAACCTAAGACAGGGAAATATAGAAAATAAAACTGCAGGGAAACAGAAAATCAATAAATACAAAATAACAGATGTGGCTGGCCTCAAACCCAAGGGTCTAGACACACTAAGGCTGAACGGCAAGAGGCAGGGAGGAGGACAGGATGGCCAGCGACACCTGCTGGCCAAATGGGGAGGGGACACTAAGGGAGGGTCAGATGGGCGCTGACCCTGACAGTACATGCCAGGGCCAGGAAAGTTCTATCAAGCCACCAG